AAATTAATATATATTGATAGTTATTAATTTTAAAAGTTTAAAAATACTACTATTAGATATATCATAATATGATAAATTTAAAATTTTTATTTCATCTTTTTATAATCATTAAATATATAATAATTTAATTCTTAAAATAAAATTTTATTTAAAATAATATATTAAATATACTGTATATTAGAAATTTATATTTAAACATTTTATATAAATGCACTTTTTTATATGTATATATATTAAAGCAGAGTTAGAGTTAATTTAGAATTAGGATTAAAATTATAATTAAGGTTAGGGTTATTTATTACAACCTTTATATATTTCATTTTTATATCTTATTCTGAGGACTTAAAAATTTTTTTATAAAAAAATTTTTTTTGTCACCTATTATATAATATAGCTTGTATTTTATGCAAATATATAAAAAATAAAAATAATCTTTTTAAAATAATTTAAAATATTTTAATATTATATATTTAAAATTAATTTTATTGAATTTTATATGAATTGATTATTAAAAAAATCAGATTTTGAAAATTTTTTAACAAAATTTTGAATTTTATTACATTTTAATTTTTGATGTTATTAAATTAAACTCAAAAATTTTCTAAATTAATTTTCTAAAAATCTTTTTATTAAAATCTTTTATAATTTTTTTAAATCTTATATTATTTAATAATTAAATTATTTATATAAAATAAGTTATTGTTATATAATTCTTATATTATTACTAATATTATCTCTTAGATTGTCTAGCAGGCAAATTTGTCTGTGAATTTAAAAAAATGTGTTATTTTTTTTAATAAAATATTAAATATTAATTTTAGTAATATAATAATTATATGAAAAATATAGTTTAATATATATTTTATTAATTTTATTAGAATAAATTTTAAGTTTATAAGATATTTTTTAAATAATTTAATTTTAAATTTAAGTTTTAAAAATTTATTATAATAATTTTTTAAAAAATTCTTTAAAATTTATATATTTACGAACTAATTGAATCACTTTACTATTAATAAAAGTTAATAAAATTTCTTAGTAAATTATAAAAAGTGTAATAATTAAAGTTATTTTTTATGATAAATTTTATAATATTCTAAATTTTTTAATTAAATATTTTTTTATATTATTAAGTTTATATCATAATATAAAATAATAAACTTATATTATTTATATTAATTATATTATTACATTATTTTTTTTTTTAATAAAAGATAATGATAATTTAAATAGAATATATATATGATTTTATATATATATAAATTAATAATGCTATAAATAATCATATAATTATTATATTAAATAGTTTATATTAATTAAAATTTAATATTAAAGTTAAATACTACTAATTTGAATTTAATAAAGTGAAATTTTTAGTTAGCAATAAATAGTTACTAAAGAATCAGTTTATATATGATATTTTAATAATTGGTAGTTAAATTTATAATTATTAGCTAATTCTAATTGATAATAATATATGATAAGAAAATTTTAGAAAATAAATAATAATTAAAAAGATGGTATGTTTATTTTTATTATTATTAAGAAACCAATAATTGACTTATTAAAACAAATTTTCAGTTTCTTTTTTTTTCTAAATCTGTTATAGCTAGTAAATTGATCTGATTTGTTTGCTTCAAAACAATGTTATTATTCAAGTTAAACATGGGCGTACAAAATTGTAACACATTTCGTAATTTATGACGAAAGAGGGTTACGAAAGTCATTGTACGTGCTTATCGTAAACAGTGTAACAAATATTTTTGTAAGTACTGTTCAAAAAAATTTGTAATACCCGGGTATATTTATAGTTCGTTTCAAACTTTTTTTTATGAAATATCAAATTTATTATGGAGAATTAGAAAACAAATTTAAATTATTTTATTTTTTCAATTTTTTCAAAAAAAGCATACATTTCAAAATGGTAAACTTCATTTAGTATAGTGTGTAGTAAATACCAAAGGACCCGCGTAGAATAGTACCCTTCCAACATCATTGGGTATTTAGTATTTTTTTTTTTTCTTAAAAAAAAAATGTCTCGTTCATAATTAAGGTTGAAAGGAGAGAATTTAGGCTTGAATTGAGTTAATAAAGTAAGCACCGCATTACAAATAAAAAACAAGCAAATGTATAAACTGGGAAAGATTATTATTATTTTTTGAAATACGTTTGAATAGAATTCGGATTTATTATTTCTTAAATAATGATATTTTGACGAAAGAAAAGAGATTACTCTAACGATATATAAAGGTTACTATAACAAAATGTACAAATTTACTCTGACGATAAAAAAAAAATTACCACAAAAATGAATAAAATTAAAAAATTACTCTCACGAATGAATAAAATATTATAACGAAAGAACCAAATTACTCTCACGGGCGAATGAAATTACTAACGAACAAAATAATGATAAACGACTTTAACGAAACGGAACAAACGTTATTTTTGTGACGAAGAGAAAAAAAAGAGTTATTTTGACGAAAGAGATTTTCTACGAATAAAAAAATGACCAAACGTATAAAACCCGCTGAATGTTCTATATGTATTTAAGAAAAAGAGAAGCCTGAACAAATTTTTCATCCTTCAATGAAGGATCCCCCATTAAAAAATTGATCAACTAATACATTTGAAATATTAGTTTGAGCAGGGAGATTTGAAATGCGGCGGTACGTGTCTAATTGAGTATTCCTTCTAAATATCATTATTATTCGTCTTCTACGTTGACGTTGTGTTATGAAACTTCCAGCGTTGTAATTTATATGAGTAAAAGTTCTGTTAGGCATTATTGGAAATTAAATTTAAGACGTAAGAGAAATGAAGAGCCGAGTTTGCTTTCGTAGCAGCTTAACAAAAGTGTTTACCATACGAGAAATAATTACAATATGGAAGAAAAAAAATTTTTTTTTATTACGATAACGAAAGAAGGTTCTTTTTTTATTATAAAATTGTACGGGGAATGGAAAACGATTTTTTTCCTAACAAAAAAAAATGAAAAAAAAAGATTTCTTGGAACCTTTATTATATACGTAAAAAATTTTTTACCTAAAGCAAGCATTATTTGAAAGATTATGTGATATAAAATTCGCTGCGCACAACAAATAAAGAACTATACTAGAACCGGGCGGGAAAGTCCGAAACCCGAAAGGTTATTTATCTGTCAGAAATGTCAAAAAAACATCACATCCCACATGTCATTTAGAAAATATAATGACCATGATAATAAATATAATATTAGTAATTGGAAACGACACATCCCATCTGCTGACCAGAGTCGTGACCATTCAGGGATCCGGAAAAAACCGCCCGACTATCAAAAATGTCAAGGGACTTCTTTGTTAGATACCTTATAAGTCAATTCCTTACTCTTATCTGATAATGAAAAATCAACAAACGCAGTTAAAGGACATTTGAAATTAAATAAATATGACTTTGTACAGATTTAAAACGTCAAGCCATTGAAAGTAGAAAAATTCCTGGCGAATGATAGAATTCGAAAAATTCTCTTAACAAAAAATTTGACAAATTGATATTGATATAAAAAGGGTTAAGCGCGCGTAATTAATGAATGTATCTGGATTTTTTAATGATTGAATAATGCATGCGTTATCTAGAAAAATGCGGTCAGTGTTACACCATCATAATAATATTAACGCCATACTTGGCGCGGGTATCATAGAATGTGGCAAACTAGAAGCCTAGATTCAGGTGACAAATTTATATGCAAGCCTCAACTGAAACTCATTTAATTTACTGCATAATAAAAATACAACATATGTAAAATGATATATAAATCTTTAAAAAGAATAGTCCGAGGTGTCAGCACGTGATATATATACCCACGTTTCATTTTAAATTTGCGACGCCACTCTTCATAAGATGCGGGGTAAAGGTATCTTTTTAGGTTGACAACAAGCAGCAATCACGTGCCCTTGCCTTTTTTTGTGGGGTTAATCGTTTGTGGATTGGTTGCTTACGTCGCGTTCCATTTCTAGATGAATGTACGAATTTTCCAAAAGTGCATGACAATGGATAAACAATGATTTTTGTAAATATATCAGGCATAGATAGATTACCATAAGTGATATGTGTAGGTTAAAATTTTCCGAAAAAATTTTCTTACGCGTTCGTCTTTTTATTAAGTCAATCCTTTTTTAGTAAGTATTTGAAACTTTTCTTTTTATATTTTAATTCCGACTTTAACTAGTGATATGACGTTTAGCAACATTAAAGTCCGCCCATTTTCTATACCATTATTATCATATAGGTAAAGGTTTTAAATCACGTTACATCTACAATTCAAATCTTCTATTGTTATATCATGTTGATGTTGTTGATCAGCCCCAATGATCCAAATTTTTTTAATTTAATTATGACGAAACAAATCTAGATCGACTGATGCCCTTGTGTTCATTGCACTGCATTTCCAACAAATGGGAATAACAAAACTGTTTTGGTCACAAGTCTTCTCAATATATCCTTATACGGATGACGACTGCATGAATATGAAACAACTGAACACTGATTTAACCTAGACAAGTCTCGTTCTGTGGCTTTTGAAGTTATTGTTTATAATAAAAAAAAACACTACTGATCTAAATTGGATAGGCGATCCAAATTTGGTTAAAGTGAACTTTACTAAACTTGGTAGCAGGTGAATTTCATAATCCGACTTTTCCCTGAAAATATAGTATATTGTTTATAAACTCTGTAATAATTTTTTTTTTTTTTTTTTTATTTTTTGGGTTTCCTTTGAATTATTCCTTTAAATCAAAAAAAATTTTTTGTTTCCTTAATTCTTACTTAATTATGTCTTTGCAACAGATGATTGATGAAATAAATGAAGATCTTAAGCCTAATCCTCAGGAAATAAAGGTTGCGGCCACTTGTGAACAAATTGCACCCTTGAACGTTAATGAAAAAACCTTTCGTAGCCGTTCAAAATCCGTATCTTATTCCTCTGTATGGTCACGTCAAAATGCTCCAATGTTAAATTTCTCCACAAAAGTACATTCTTGGGAACCTACTCTGGAAAAAGCTATAAAAGCCATCGTATCTATAAAAGCAAATCATGTAAGAAGCTTTGATACCGAAACATCTGGTTAGTTTACTAGCATACATATACATTCCATGTCGGAAAAAAAATTATGATAATTGATTTATCATTTGAAATTTATAAAGGTGCTTATTCGGCCACGGGTTTCGTCGTTGATAGAGAGAGGGGAATAATTTTATCAAATCGTCATGTTGTGTCGCCAGCACCTATTGTTGCTCAAGCTATTTTTACAAATTATGAAGAAGTTGAATTGCAACCTATTTATCGTGATCCGGTTCATGATTTTGGATTTTTGAGATTTGATCCATCCAAAATTAAGTTCATGGATTTAGTACAGATTCCTCTTAGTCCTGAAAAGGCAAAAGTGGGAATAGAAATAAGAGTTGTTGGGAACGATGCTGGTGAAAAGTTGTCAATTTTGGCTGGCACTCTGGCAAGACTTGATAGAAGGCAAATATATTAATTCTTTCATACACATATAAATATATATATATATTTGTTTTAAAAAAAAAAAATAATATCATTAATTAGGTTGCAAGCTATTTATTAATCAATTTACTTAATTACATTAGAACTCCTGATTATGGTGTTGGTGAATATAATGATTTCAATACCTTTTATTTACAAGCTGCATCTGGAACAAGTGGTGGATCATCAGGCAGTCCCGTGCTTGATATCGAGGGTAATGCGGTTGCCCTAAATGCCGGTGGTGCAAGTACAGCTTCATCTAGTTATTATCTTCCATTGGATCGAGTGAAAAGAGCTCTTAAATATCTTCAAGAAGGAAAACAAGTTCCTCGTGGAACGCTTCAGGTAGAATTTGAATATTTACCTTATGATGAACTTCGACGTTTGGGTCTTAAATCAAATATTGAACAAGAAGTTCGTGAAAAATATCCAGATGAGACTGGGTTATTGGTGGTTCGTACAGTTTTACCCAAAGGACCAGCTGATGGTTTACTTGTACCTGGAGATATAGTTATTTATGCGAATAAAAATATGGTAACCAATTTCACGCACTTATTTTCAATAATTGATGATTCAATCGGTCAAGATATAGAGTTAACGATATGTCGTGGAAAAGTTCAAATGGGTGTTAATCTAAGAATTCAAGATCTTCATTCCATAACGCCAAATCGTTTTGTTGAAATCGGTGGTGGTATAGTTAATGAACTTTCATATCAGCTTGCTCATTCTTATTCACAACCCGTCGGAGGTCCATATGTAGCTACAAGTGGTCATATGCTTGCTAGTGCATCAGCTTGGCGTAAGAGTGTAATCGTCAGTGTTAATAGTATTCCCACACCAAACTTGGACGCTTTCATTGAGGCCATGAAAACTTTACCTGATGGGGCTAGAGTACCTTTGAGATTTTATTCTTTATCCAAAGTTTATAAGGAAAAGGTTATGATCATGCACGTAGATCGACATTGGCACAAATTCCAAGTAGCCGTCCGTGATGGTACGCGTTATTTACCTTAATTATTAATTTTTTACATTTTTTCTTTTATTTATTTTTTTTTTTTAGAAGGGATTAGCTAATAATAATTATATTCTCATTACATTATGAAGACACATGTGGATTATGGAATTATGAGAGCATGCCCCCTCCTCCCGCAATTCATTCATATAAGCCCGCCACAGCACAAATTCAAAAGTTGGATGAGTCATTACAACCGGCTTGCAAGATTTGGCCTTCATTTGTTGCGCTTGATTTTCATTTACCGTACCTTGTTGATGGAATGAAAAGTACACAGGTAAATTTTTTTTTAAAATAAAATTATTTTTTATTAGCCTTTATTATATATAATGCCTTCTCTTAAGTTATTAAGGAATAACATTTTATTGTCAAAATGTATGAATGAAAAAAAAAGTTTACATATTCATTCATAACTATTTTTTTCCTTTTCTTTTTGATTTCATCACGGCATTAAATAGTTTTATGGAGCAGGAGTTGTGGTGTCTACTGAGCCACCTCTGATTATATGTGACCGAGATACAATACCGATAAGTGTTGGTGATATCTTTATAACTTTTGCCAATAGTATCATTATACCCGGAAAATTACTTTACCTTCACCCAATGTATAATTATGCTATTCTTACATATGATAAAACATTATTGGGAGAGACACCCGTCAAAGCAATTGAATTGAGCAATAAGGACTTGGTACAAGGTGATACTGTTTATTTGGTGGGAGTTGGTGGAGATCATTCACCTGTCATGAAGAAAACTATTGTCACGAGTATTGGAAATGTTGGAACAAAGGAGTGTAGTCCTCCAAGATGGAGAGCCATGAATGTTGAAGGAATCAGGGTGGACGACCCCGTAGGCTCGCAAGGTAATTTTTTTTGTTTTTAAATCCATGTTTAAAATTTAAAATGCTTTTATACGTAGTTTTTGATAATATAATCTTGATCATTGTATAGGTGGTGTGTTATGTGATGTTGATGGAAAAGTGCAAGGGCTATGGTTAAATTATTCTTCACAAAATGAAAAGAATAAGGATATTACATTTATGAGTGGACTTCCGATATCTTTAGTAAAACCAGCTTTAGAACCACTTAAACGTGGAGAACTTCCAAAATTATGTGGTTTAAATGTAGAATTTTGGACAATGAGAATAGCAGCCGCAAGAGCTCTTGGTTTATCTGATGAATGGGTTAGAAAGGTTGAGACAACTCCGAATTCAAAACATACCTTATTATATATTTTAAATATACTTGATTCAACAAGTCCTGCGGGAAAATTATTAGAAGTAGGAGATATCGTTTTAATGATGAATGGTAACATGGTGACAAGAATGTCTGATCTGCCTGCAGCTTTTCATTATTCAGAAGAGGTTGATATGGTAAGTAATTATCTAATTGGATATATTGTATAATTTTATGATTAATCACCGTTTAACCAAATCAACATTATAGGTAATATTACGTGATGGTAAGGAGAAGAATATTAAAGTAGCGACGACACCCTATTACGGAAAAGAGACATCGCGGATTATAGGGTGGTCGGGCGCTCTTGTACAAGCACCATACAAGGCGGTGTTGGAACAAGTTAAAAATGTACCAACAGGCGTATACGTCTCATGCACATTATATGGTTCACCAGCATCAGTTTCATTAAGACCAGGGATTTGGATTGTTGAAATACAAGGAAGGAAAGTGAGTGATTTGGACTCATTTTTAGAGGCGATACACGCGCACGAAAAAGAAATGAAAGAAGATGTTAACGAATATAATAGTGGATATATACGAATTAAAACTATAAGTCGCACCGATGTTACAAAAGTTGTAGCAATGAAATTAGATCCACATTATTGGAGTACTTGGCAATTGGTCGAAGATGAAGTAGCGATAACGGGGTGGAAGTGTATAGGAGCATAAATTATCAGAATAGTTCTTTTTAAAAATTTTGGGAAATCATTTTTAATTTTCATATGGATATCTATTAGATTCTTATTATCTTCTTCTTTTCTTTTATTTTATTTATTACAAAATTATTAAATAAATTATTGGGAAGGTTGGTTTGAATAAATGATTACAATCAAGATATTGAACTATTATTACTTTTTAATCTAGACTATTAACTTAGGTTTTCTTTTTTTTATTTCTACTTCAAAAAATTTTTAATAAATATCTCGAAAAAAAAGAGAATAATATTTTTTTATCGTTGATATAGAATCAGGGCACTTTCCCGAGAACCATCATAAGCTATTTGACGAATTCCTTCTTCCACACTGCATTAATATTACCTTTTTTAGTAATGAAGTCATGAATAGATTTATGCGACGCGTTTTTCCGAAAAGAAATAGATTTTATGGCGCTATTGATACATTTGTTTATTATTAAGGTTTTAAGGTTTTTAAAAGTTAGCGTTTCGTTCGACGATCGCTCATTGTACTGCGAGGATTGACCACGACCATGTTTCGGTGATTTTCGAGATTGTTAAAAAAGGAGCAGAGAAAAATATAGATCAGCTAATTTTTGCCCAAAGACGTTCAACACGTTAAGTGCAGGGGATGTCACATTGTTTAGTGATTGTGAAACTAAAAAAACTAGTGATAATTACGTCTTGTATAAAGATCAGATCAAATCAAATCTAATTGTAATACGAGTCAAGAACACTCGACAAATCCGTGAATGCGGAATTCAGATTTCGAAACTTTTTAGATTGCAGGGGATAAAAACGCCAATATCGTCATTTAACGCAACGTCCAACATTTATTTCCAAATCCAGAATAAGGTTACAATTTGGGGAATGGTCTTTTTACATACTTCTAACAATATATATATAAGGTCACTCACTTGACAGAGTCAAAAACGGTTGTCCTCAACAAGTACAAGAATGCAGTTGACGTCTGCGGTGCTTTATTATCTGCTTCAATCTAGATTACGAATTCAATAAAGACATATTTGTCCTGAAAATTGAAATTCCGGATTTTCATAAAAATGTCGCCCCCAATTTTTTTTTTTTTGTTGGCCTTTTTACATTATTTAATAATTATAGTAAAATCATTGTCTTTTTTTTTTATTATTGTTATTTGTAACGTTGTATTATAAGGTTAATGTAAAAAAATTCATTTTGGAATATGAATGACTAAATAATAACTACCCCAAAATTGGCGCAATTATTTCATATCGAAAATATTTATTTCTGATGCTCTTTAACATTTTCTTTTGAAAATAAAAAAAAAAAAAAAAAGTAAATTAACGGAATGACAAAATAATTATAACTGATTTTTTTCGCTTGACAAAGGAAAAAAATGGAAAAGGGTTAAAGTTATAAGGATATCTTTATCGGATTGAATTCCGCAAATATCAACACAATGATCGATATAATTCTCTGGGCGACTAACTCGATCCTCATGAAAAATTTTTTATTAGAACGAGAAAGAGAGAAAATGCTTGTATATTATCAATGAGCCTTAATATGGAAGTTTAATAGAGGGAGATAAGAAACAAAATTTCTTTGTCATTTAAAAAAATTTTTGAATTCGTAGAAATTTATATATCTATATTGTACATAAAAAAAAAAAAATTTTTTTCAAATGTACTTATTTTTATTCACGGCGTAAATTTCTTTGTCGCATTTGATAAATGCGAGAGCCCCAAACGTTAATTCTCACGATAGCGATATTTCTTTATTTCTTTTAGAGAAACCCTACATTTAAAACTAACATTTTTAACAAACGTTATGAATGATTTGTAATCGATAATCGCATCTTGCTCCATCTAACTTGATTAGTTCATATTCCATTTTACAAAATCTCCTTTTGAAGTTAGGGTCAATTCCCCACATGGTGATAATTCAATAAATTAAAATTCGTGTGGCTTGCTTATTTCTTATATATATATAAGAACTGCATGGAGCATTAATGATTCACTTCGCGCATGTAGTTCTTTGCTTCTAATGTTGACCAAGGAATTTCTTATCAATATTTAAAATCTTTCCTTCTCTTTTGATGAGAATTGTTGTGATTCGCAATTCACGTAAATATTGTTTCAACGTTAATCGTCACCCGTATGAGGCCTTCTCACATCCGCGTAATCCTTCCTTTCCTTCTTTCCTTTTCCTTTATTTTCGATATCCATACAAATCAAATTTTTTTTCTTTCTTATCCAAACGCCTATCTGATTTGATTCCTCTATGTTAAATTATCATTTGCAGGTGAATCTATACAAATTGGGTTAATACCGGTTAAAAAAAACCGATTTAGCCTAACCCTGATGTAAATCCAATGTTACAATCGAATTTTTAAACCGAATTCGTTATTCTTAATAACATTTTTTTTTATTCAAAATTCGATTTTTTTTATTTCGGAACAACAATATTCACCATATTTGAAGAATAAATCATAATGATCAAATAACGATAAATCTCGAGAGAGATTGGACCGAAATTATCTTTTTTTATTTTTTTTTTTTTTTTCCCCGATGATCATTATTAAATAATGGGAACGCAATACAATTAAAGGCGCTTCATCCAATCTTGGATAGTCTAGTTCCTTTCCTTTTTTATTCGTTAAAAATCTCATTGAAACCGTTTCATGTGTATTTATTATTATAATTATTTAAAAATAAAGCAGGGGAATAACACCAATCTGTTTTAAATTTAAATTTAATCATTGTGTTTTGATTATTTAACTATAATAAATATAAAAAAAAAAATATTTTAAATCATAACATTACTTTATTTAAAACAACAACAACAGAAAAAAAAAAAAAATTAAAAGTTATCTTTGGGAACCACCAATAAACTTGATAAGGTTTATTATGTGAAATGAAAATCCTTTGTGATTTCGTGATAGTGATTTAAACATCGCATCTAATTATATGTCATCACCCACAGAAAATTTTAGATATATTTACCTATTCGAATTTTTTCAAAAACCTCACCATTCGGTTTTTCGTAAAAAAAAAAATCAAAAAAACAAAAAAAGGAATACTTTTCCTAATAATTTCTTATTAGACAAAAAAAAAAATCTTTTTTCTTTTCTTTTTTTTTTTTTTTTAAAATAGAAAAATAAACTCTTTTTAACAAAATATCAAATTTTTCACTAATCAAAAAATGTCAAGCGAAGGAAGCAATTCTGATGCTTCACCCATAAACATTCCATCGCTTCGTCAAAGACGCGGCGGAACTGGAAATAATCTAACAAACATGGCAACTTCTCTAGCTGATACATTACAATCATGGACGGGAAATTACAGTCTCACCGCAAGGTAAAAACGTTAAAAATTTATTGCCATTCGATGTAACCTAACGCGTTTCGATCTAAATACAAGCTTCACTTTTACAATAGTACATACATGACCAACAATATCGCCGTGCCAGCTTCATTCGTAGGAGACAACCATGATAATTCTTATTATACTCCGGGAAGATTTAATCAAAATCCGGGATCAATCCTTTCTTCAAATCTAAGTTATGTTACGGCGAATACAACCTTCCTTTCGCCTCATAATCTTCCCCAAAATTATGGCTCAATGGCACAGATTAATCGTTATCCGAATCTAGATACAGTTAGCGGAAGTATAACGGAAGAAGGAGATTTCTTAGGAACCTCATTTATCAACAATAGTCATGGTTCTATGTGGAGAAATTCTGCGGAAGCTTATAAGAAACGACCAATGAAAATTCCCGCCCCAATGTCTCGATCAGATTCAAAGTACGTGTTAATAATGAAAAATTTTTTTTTTTTTTTTTTTTTATGAAATCGCAAACTTATATATCTTACGAATCATTTTTATTAGGAGTTCATACGTCTCGGTACCGTTGTCTACAGTTGAAATACCTGACCGAGTTGGGTCAAATTTCCGACAATCAATCTTCAATTCCTGTAACGTTTTAATCGGTAATTTGTTAATCTACACTGATCTGTTCTGTCATTCCGCGTTTTACCGGATTTACCCGAATTAATTTTAAAAAATGTTCATAGGTATTGGAATTTTGACATTACCGCTTGGATTTAAATATGCTGGCTGGGCTCTTGGAATTGCGATTTTCTTTTCATGTTTAATGATAACAAACTATACTGCCAAGGTTATTAAAAAATGTTTGGATTATGACGAGGGATTATACACTTACGCTGATATCGGTAAATTTCTTTGGCGAGTGAAAAATTTTTTTTTTGTTTGACACGTAAATTAACAACCGGATTTTACCTTTTTAGGAGCGATAGCATTTGGTGAAAAAACGAGAATTTATATCTCGGTGTTATTCTGTCTTGAACTTATAGCTTCGGCGGTAGCGCTCATTATCTTGGTTGGAGACTCATTACACGCAATTTTCCCAGATGCGTCCCTAAACTTACTAAAAGTAATCGCATGGATAGTCATGACTCCATTAACCTTGATTGCCATAAGATATCTTTCATATTTCTCATTACTCGGTATATTAAGCGCCATATGTTTGGTGAATGTTATGATCATCGATGGATTTACAAAACATGAAAGCCCTGGTAGTTTGATTGATCCTATGGAAACCGATATCTTCCCTTTCCGGTGGTACAACGTGCCAATGAGCTTTGGACTGATCATGGCTGGATTCACGGGTAAGATATCAATATCGAATGAAACTCTGACATATCCCGATTTATTGTACAAATTAAGTAATAATTCATTAAACAGGACATGCCGTATTTCCAAGCGTATATCGAGACATGAAAAATCCAAAGCAATATCCAAAAATGGTTAATTACACTTATGTGCTAACAACCATCGTGTATTTCCTCATGGCCGTATGCGGTTACTTAATGTTTGGACGTACTGTTATGCAAGAGGTAGGCGCATTGACTTAATCACGCTTTATGCAACTTTAATCATAGATTTAATGTGACGCAACATACTAATGATGTTCCTTTGCTTGTGAAATAGATTACACAAAACATAATGGCAACACAAGGCTACAATCGCATGCTTAACCAATTTATAATTTGGCTAGTGGCAGTATATCCGATAGCGAAATATGCGTTAATCTTGAATCCAATTAATTTAACATTTGAAATTTATTATCACTCGATTCCGCGATTAGAAGAATGGTGCAATAGTGGTAGAGGACGTCGAACTGCAATTAAATTGATTTCACGTATAATGTTATCAACTTTGGTATTATTAATCGCAATACAAATACCCGAATTCGATAGGGTTATGGGAATCTTGGGAAGTTTTTTCTCGTTCTTTATATCTGCTTTATTTCCTTGTTCTGCCAATTTGAAATTATTTGGAAGGAGGATGAGTTGTAAAGAAAAGGCTTTGAATATATTTATTCTTATTGTTTGTGGCATTATGAGTGCTTTGGGTACTATCTGGTCTTTCTTGCCTGCTCAAAAAGGTCATTAAGGGTTCTGGAAGAATAGAGTGGAGGAAATTTTAAGAGGGATTTTACGTTATTTTTTTTTAAAAAAAAAATTATTCTATAGACATAGCTAAAAAAAAGGACACTTACTTTTTTTTTTTAAAAAAAAAAAAAGAAAAAGAAAAAAAAAAAAATTCAAAAAAGTAGCAATTTCATTTGTATATTATTTTTATCTACCAAAAAATTTACTTGGACTTTTTTTTCATGCATTTTTATTTTTTTAAAAAAAAAAAAAAACAAAACAGAAATAAATAAAATAAAATAAAATAAAAAGTATCTATTAAAATTAGTATACTTTACTTCACAATTCTAAATCCAATATTAAGTTTGTGGATAACGAATTACATAAATACCAATTCAAATCATCTTTACTCTTTTGTAACAATATATCTAATTTGGTGTAACATATTAAAAATACTTTACAATTAAATTTTTTGGGGGGGGGGGATTTTAGCTTTTTGTGTTAACAGTTGTCGTACGAAACTTTATAATAGGTGCTTATATCTCTTCGATATGAAAGTGAAACAAAACAATCAAAATAATAACAGACGATCAAAATTATGCAGGCACTAAAAAATACTTACAATTTCTTAATGTTGTAAACTGTTTGATTAATTTGGTTCGATAGATTAACGTTAATGTATTTCTTTAATTTCAGGATATTGAAACAATTAACAAATTAAACTTTAATAAATTTAATCTATTTATGGTCAAAAAAAAAAAATTGAATATTACTCGTAATTAAAAAATTGTACGCGGTCCCAAACCATCTGACAAAGTTTTTTGACTTGGTCGCTAAATATGTTGCGAAGAGCATCTTCCCTTCTTTGAATTTTAAGATGATTAAGAAATAATAAATTTAGACAGATTTTCCTCGGTTGTAAAAGCATATGCATCTTTAATATTTAAAATACAAAAGATTTTTTTGTTTCTGTATACATAGGTTACATAGGTGCATTCCTCGTTCATAACCAAATTTTCATTTGGGATGCACAGCACTTTGTAAAATCCTATTTACGTTAGTGTTATGCTTGGAAAAATATAAAAAGAAGTTTCATAGCCTTCATTGCTAAAATACGGTATGTAATAATTAAGTTTTGATATATAACTTTTCTTTTTTGTGGTATAAAAGAATATAAGGAAGATACAAAAGATGCAAAGAACCGAATATAGATTTTGATGTTATCCTTTTTGACAAGATAAAATAAAAAGATATGACAAAATCCATACTTTAAATGAACTTCCAGTTAATAATTTAAATACCACAATGGGTGACAGATAAAAATGACTTAAAATTCAATGTTACACCACCCTAAAATAGAACCAGTTATATTGATAACAAATTTACGTTTTTGTTCTTGGATTTTTTTTAAGATCATTTGATTTGATTTGGGGTTTTTTTTTGCGATCGGCTATTCACTTTCGCTTAATGTTTTTTACGGCTACATGGGATTTCAGTGGCATTGATCCTCCTTTTCTTGGTCATTTATTAGTTAAAAACGGTTGCCAATGAAAAGGTCCTTTATTATTAATTACTATTAAACAAATTAGGTCAATAACAAAAGGTTTTAAAAAAAGTATTTCCTAATTGGCAGAATAAAATAAACAAATCGCTGATTTCATTTATTTAGAATTGCTTGATGAGTTCATTCATGTTGATAAATAAATTTTGATGTGCTTAATCTAACATTAATTTCGTTTTAAATTGGACATTGTAATGAACTATTGTCTTAGACTCATAAAACCGTATTAGTTGTTTAACTAAAGGTGAATCATGATTCCGTTGATTACAAATTCTTTTATTTATTTATTTTATGTATTTATATATTTTTAAAAGCAACCAAAGTATAAGAAATTTTTTTTTTTCTTTTTACAAAAATAAAATGGCAAGAGTAGAAAACAATCCTGATTCTTTACCTATAAACATTCCATCACGTCATCAAAGACGAAGTGAAACAGGAAATAATTTAACCAACGTTGCATCTTCTCTAACCGGTGCATTACAATCATGGACAAGGAATTATAGTCTCACCGCAAGGTAAACATTGCTCGATTTAATTTAACAAGTTTTCGATTTCATTAACCACACATTTCTTTATTATAGTACCTACACGAGCAACAATTTTGTCGTTCCAGTTTCATTTATCGGAAGCAATTATGAACAAGCGGGAACGTTTGGACAAATTTATTATTATAGACCGGGAGGACTAATTCAAAATCCAGGACCATCTTCAATTCAAAGTTATAACACAATATCTCCTTCACCTCATAGCCCCCCCTCAAATTATGGATCAATTACACAAGATGCTCAAGATGTTTATGATTCAAAGTTAATTTCTGCTAATACAAATCAAATCGGAGAAGATTTATTTGGAATCTCATTTACCGATAACAATCACGGCGCTACTGCTGACGATCATAAGATACGTCCAATGATAATTTCTGAGCATACTCCTATCGTTCGAAAAGATTCAAAGTATGTAATGAATAATGACATTATTTTTTCTTTATTTTTATTTTTATTTTTACAAAAACTTCATGTTTATTAGGGGTTCATACGTTTTAGCTTCATCATCTACAGATAAAGAAATTCCTGAGCGAGTTGGGACAAATTTTCGACAATCAATTTTTAATTCTTGCAACAATTTCATCGGTAATTGAAAATATAATAAGAAATAATATTCTGTTAGTTTACCCGAATTAATGGATTAAAAAAATTTTTTTTTTTTTTTTTTTTATATATATATATATATATAGGAATTGGAATTTTGACATTACCACTTGGATTTAAATACGCTGGTTGGACACTTGGAATTACGATTTTCGTTTGCTATTTGATAACAACAAACTATACAACCAAAATAATTAAAAAATGTCTGGATAACGACGAAAGATTATACACTTGCGCTGATATAGGTTAATAACTTTCATCACACGCCTTACCTTTCCTACGCAATAAATTAACAAATCGATTACTTTTGTTAGGAGCTAATGCGTTTGGAGAAAAATCAAGAACTTTTATCTCGGTACTGTTCTGTCTTGAACTTTTAACTTTGGCTGTAGCACTTATTATCTTGATCGGAGATTCATTATACGCGATCTTCCCGGATGTACCCTTAATGTTACTAAAAGTTATCGCATGGATGATCATGACACCATTAACTTTGATTACCATAAGACATTTTTCATATTTAACATTGTTTGGTATATTAAGTGCCATATGTTTGGTAAGTTTAATGATAATCGATGGATTTGCGAAACATGAAAGACCTGGTAGTTTGATTGATCCCATGGAAACCGATATCTTCCCTTTCCGGTGGTACAACGTGCCAATGAGCTTTGGACTGATCATGGCTGGATTCACGGGTAAGCTATTGGGAAATGAAGGATACTTATAAACAATTTATTTACACGAGCAATTTATTTGTCAACAGGACACGTCATATTTCCAAATGTATATCGAGATATGCAAAATCCAAAACAATATCCGAGAGTGGTTAATTGCACTTATGTATTAACAACTGCTTTAAAATTCCTTATTGCAGTATGCGGTTATTTAATGTTTGGCAATACCGTCATGCAAGAGGTAAGTTATGCTACTTAATTATTTTTATACGCCAAAGTAAGATGCTGATAATATGTCTCTCTACAGGTTACACAAAACTTAATTGCAACGCAGGGTTGCAATCGCAAACTTGACCAATTTATGATTTGGCTAGTGGTGGTATATTCGATATCAAAATATGCATTCATTATGAATCCCATCAACTTAACATTTGAAATTTATTATCATTCAATTCCACGATTAGAAGGTTTGTGTAAGAGTGGTAGAGGACGTCAAGTTGCACTTAGAACATTTACTCGTATATCATTATCAGCTATTGTATTGTTAGTCGCATTACAAATACTTGAATTTGAAAGAGTTGTAGGTGTGTTGGGAAGCTTTTTCTCTTTATCCATGTCTGTTATATTTCCTTGTACTGTCAATTTAAAATTATTTGGAAGGAGGATGAGTCGGAAAGAGAAAACTTTGAATATATGTCTCCTTATTGTTTGTAGTATTTTAAGTGCTTTGGGAACTATCTGGTCTTTCTTACCTACTCAACAAGAACAGCAAGATCATCAAAATAGGGAATTTTAATATAGCGTGTTTTTTTTTTTTTTTTTTTTTTAAAAAAAAAAAAAGGACAAATTTGATGTAAAACAGTTTTTGGTGTTGTTATCCAAATCTCCAAATTAATAGAATAGTGATTATTTATATATTTAGAAAGTAATTTTTCGTTAAATGTAATTAGAATTTTTTTTTTTTTTATATAAAAATAATTTAATTTAAGTTCAATAGCATGTAGATTGAATCATAGTTAGTATTAGAAATATGTAAAAAATTCTTACTGCGGCAGATCGTTATTATCCAATATACGTGAATAAATATGCAAATAAAGCCTTATAATTAAGATATTATTTCAAGTAAAAATTTTCCTATACTTTAATAAAATATTTAGTTTATTGAGCTTTAAAGTGATATTAACTAGGCAAAAAAATAGATTAAATTTCTAAAGACAGGAAATACACAGTGCTGCTAAAATACACTTATTTATAAAGATTTCACATAAAACTATAACTAAAGTTGGAGAAATTAAATGTAAAAATGCTTTAGAAATAGCATTTTAGTCATTTTATAAGTAATTTTTCGAAAATAATGTCCTAAAGATTATGGGTTGGTATTTTAATAATCTAGGTCTAAACTCATTGAAAACTATTGGGTAATTATTAAAAGGAATATGGGATTGTATGGGCTAAAAAACCTTAGTGAATTTAAAAGTTTTATTATAAATGGTGGGTAGGAAAAAAAAATACCAAATAGCCTTGTAATTGATTTTGTAGATTTGATATCACGACATTGCAGGAAGGTTATTGAGAAAAGTGGTAAATAAATATTATATAATTTTTTTTTAAAAAAGAATCTACTGCTTCTTAGCATATT